CTGGATCCAGATCATCTGACTGTTCATCTTCCGATAGCGAGTACGATCGTGACTCGTCTATCCGATCGTTGCTCCGATCGTCGGCCGCTGATCTGTCTAACTCTGTCCGGATGACGTCCTTGGCCCGATCCGCTGCTCTGTTCGTTCGTTTTCTGTCCTCCGTTCTCTGCTATTTTTTGGTTTACAAACTTTGTGATTTGTGCAGAGATGGTGATAAGAAGGTGATCTGTCCACCTCTGTCTACTCATTATGTCCTTGAAGTTATTTTTGCAAAAATTCTACACACATATTTTACAAACTCTACATGGACTCTATAAAATTCTCAAACTCTACATGATCACATGGATATTACAAAAAATCAACCAAACTCTACATGAATTCTACAATTTTTTCAAATCCATTAACTTTTTAAAATCTAAAAAAATTCAATAAAATCCCAATTGAATACACCCTTAGTTTTGGGACGGAAATAGCATAATATGATCATATGCAAATATTTGATCAAATCGTTTCTCATGCTTTAAGCAGCAGATTCATGAAATTAATAAACAGAGAGACCAATTTCACATCTCGGCGCCGCAGTAGGGGCAGAATCGGAAATCGGCCTCAGCCTCCCGGCCGCAGGAGCGACAGCTCAGAGCGTCCGGAAGCTTGGAGCGCGGCGGCGGCGGAGCTAGGGTTTGGGGGAAGAAGAGCTTGCAGTTGTCGCAGTACAGGGCTGGTTTGTCGCCGGGCCATCTCCGAACGGGGACGAAGAAGAGCTTGAGAACCTTCTCGTAATCGACGAGATCGGCGCGGGATCCGCAGGCTATGCACCTTCCGGCGCCGCTCTTGAGCACCTGTTTTACTTGCTGCTCTACCGCTCCCGCGAAGAAGAAGAACATCCTTCCTCTTTCCTTCTCCTTCGATTCCTGTATACCGATTTCAATTTCTACGATTGTGCGAGGAAGGCGGTGGAGGAAATTCTCCGTATATATTCATATATTCACTCTGCAAGTCTTGATGTTTCTAGGTGTCTCTAGTTAGTCTTTTTTTAGAGGAAAAGTATTCTTTTTTCTGATTGAACGCCATTGAAATAAATTAAATTTTGATTAGAAATAAGGAACACTATAGTTGTCAGAAATTAAATTTGAATTTTATATATTTGGACTATTCTTTGTCTTTCAAACTACTGTACATAACAGCCATCGATAGAAAATGAGGGAAGATGAAAATTAGACTCATAGTCAAAAAATGAAAATGAAGAAGAAATTTGGAAGAACTGTGTTAGGTGTACATCATATTTTTATATAGAGGAATGTTAGGGGTACACCACTTTGGGTACCCCATTTGTACACCATCAATCTTAACCCTTCATTTCTTTTTTCATTTTTAAATTCTTTTTCCTCTCTTGCTTTTTTGTGTGGTGGAGATGGAGGGGTACAAATGGGGTACCCCAAATGGTGTACCTTTAGCTTTTTTTTTTATATCAACTATATTCCATGTTTTGCATTGACATACATTTTCACAAAAATCTTGAGTTACAGAGTTATTTTGTGCTAGTGTACCAATGCAAAAAATTATATGCAAGTAGTAGGGCCGTTTTTGAACATTAGGTGGCTCTAAACAAGACGAAAAAATGAGTCTTGGTCCTAATACATTAAAATATATAAACTATTTTATTTAAAACAAAAATCAATATTATAATAATACAAATAACAAAATTTTAGCATTATAATTAAATGTCGTAATATCTATATTTAAGAACTATATTTTTATATTTTTGCTAAATAATATTATACGGAGTATGCATATTTAAAAAAATATTGGCACCTTGGCACACACTTAGGCCGGCCAAACTCGAAAACCAAACAAATCATATGTGATGAGATTTTGTATCAATATAAAAAATTATTCATAAAATAAAAATGTAAACTTTTGAGGTATATTTTAAGTACAATAGTTACTATGGATCTAGTATGGGTGAATTTTCTTTCCAAATAAGACCATGTTCTTTTGGGTTGGAAAAATCAATTTCCAATTTCTTCCAACTCCTCCTAGTTTTTCCAACTCTTTTCAGTTTCTTCCAATTTCTTCTAGTTTGTTCTAACAACGACTTCAAAAACTATTTATTTGTGATTAATATAAAATAACATTATATATCCAAATTAGTAATATAGCACCTCAAACACGGACAATGATCGATTCTTTTTATTAATTAAAATTTTATAGCATATTTATTTAGATGATCATTTAATTGAGTTACTTTTAAATGCTTAAATTTTTCTTACATTTTTCAAATTCTTCCAATTTTTTCTAATTCTTTTCAGTTTCTTTCAATTTCTTTCAATTTTTTTCAATATCTAATTCTAATATTCCAATAAAGAAAGCGACCTAAATCATTAGAGCAATGCTAGGGGTACACCAAAGGTGTACCCCAAATGTACATCACCCCCTTCTCCGCCACTCATTTTTATTTGATTTTTATTTATTTATTTTTTTTGATTTTCTTGCCCAATTATATAGTTATGGAGGGGGTGGGGGACAAATGAGGTACCGCTAGCATTTTTCAAATCATTAATATCAAGAAACCAAAAAGGAGACAAACAAGCAAGAGGTGAACTACTCAAATTCCAATGCCAATTGCATGGAAATAACTACAACACGGCGCCACGCGACTCGAAAGCTGGACCTGTGGCCCACTTTTGACTCCACCTGTTGAAAACTTAATGCCCCGGTTTTCTTCTCCTATCCTATATAAAGAGGAAAAAAAACCCTTTCTTTTTCTTCAGTTCATTCATTTATTCCCAATTTAACGTCTCCCAAAAAGCAAAGAAGCAAAATTGGTCTGTTTTCCCGTTAGTCCCTGAAATCCGAACGTTAGACCCGAAACCGACAGATGTCTTGTACCGTTGCGATTAGCTCGCCGGTATTCTCGCCGTCCAGAGTTTCAATCTCCTCCACTCTCACATGCAAAGCCGCCGCCGCCGCCGCGGAGGAGACGCTGGCTCGCGCCCTATCCCCCTCGCCGTCCGCTTCTTCTCCGTCGTCACCGCCGTTTCGGAATCTCCGGATCGCGAAGCCGCCGCTCTGTGGATTGATTCGAGCTTCTTCTTCCTCCTCCTCCTCCTCATCTGATTGTTCTGCTTTGGCCTCCTCGGCTTCGCCGGCGTTCTGGAAGCGAAAGCGGCCGGCCAGTTTGGATATTCCGAATGTTCCGGTTGGATTTGGGGATGCTCCGGCCACGCCTTCTGTTATGGAAGATCTGGTGGAGTTTGAGGGAGATGGATACTCGGTGTGCTGTAAGCGCGGGAGGAGAGGACGGGCCATGGAAGATCGATACTCCGCCATGGTTGAACTTCATGGAGATTCTAAACAGGTATGCTCTCCTACATTTCAAATAAGAGTAATTCTTTGAGTGGTTAGATAAGTTTGGAGTTAGTTTTCCTATCTTAGGCCTTGTTTAGGAACAACATTTTCGATTAACGTTAACTTTTTAAAAAAAAAATTAATAGTGTAGATTAATTTTGAATATTCTAGCATTAAAGGCTATTATCAAATAGTTTTTTTCAAAAAAGAAGACACTAAATGGAGCCTTAATCATCTGAGATAGTTTGTTTAGTTAAATGGTTAATTAAACTAACCAAAACTTTTCTAACCTTACAACCATAACTTTCCTTATTAGAGCTTTATTGACCAAGAGGCCAGGAGTTCGAAATTCACCGTTATTTTGTTTTTTTAATTAAGATTTCACATGTAAGCTCTTGAAGCACGTGAAGGCATGTTAGAATACATAACCTTTTCCGAGCCTACAAACACAAATCTAAATTTTTGGTTGAGTTGGTTTATTTGACACAAAGTGAGATCTTTGAACGTAAAAGGTAATGTAGTTTAAATTGGGATGGAGCCATGTAGGGAGCAATGAGGAAGAACTAACCATAGGCTATAAAAACTTTCAGGCTGTTTTTGGTGTATTTGACGGCCATGGAGGAGCAAGAGCAGCTGAGTATGCATCACAAAACTTGACCAAGAACATCCTGGGTGAGGTTGAAAAGAGTATCGATGAGGAGATTAAGGAGGCTGTGAAGAATGGTTACCTGAAAACAGATACCAAATTCTTGGAGCAAGACCTACGAGGTGGATCTTGTTGTGTTACAGCCTTGATCAAGGACCAGATTCTGGTGGTTTCCAATGTCGGGGATTGTCGAGCTGTTCTTAGCAGAGGAGGAGTTGCAGAGGCACTAACTTCTGATCATCGGGCTTCAAGAGCTGACGAAAAGGAAAGAATTGAGGCTACGGTAAGCACAACATAACTCGTGTATTATTCGTCTCAGTTGGATTTGGATTATTTTATGATGGTGCAGATTAACTCTTAAAACGCTAAAGCCAAACGCTGCAGTCTATTTCAAAACCCTAAAGCTAAACGCTGAAGTTGCTGCCAAAAAAATCAGGCACTGAAAAACCAAATATATGTTGACATTTTGGTGATCCATTGCAGGGTGGTTTTGTAGATTGTAATTGTGGGGTGTGGAGAATCCAGGGATCTCTTGCGGTTTCCAGAGCCATTGGTGACCGGTCGCTCAAGCAATGGGTGATTGCCGAACCGGAAACTAGGGTAGTCCCACTTCATTCTGAACTCGAGTTCTTGATCCTGGCATCAGATGGCTTATGGGACAAGGTAGTTCCAATGTTTTCACGACAACATTTGGTTTCATCTGTTTAGAACAACGAAAAATTGTCTGATTTTAGGCCTCACACAAAGTTCACAACTCAAATGTCTGGTTTGAATTTGCACAACAGGTAAGCACACAGGAAGCAGTAGACGTTGCCCGGCCTTTCTGCATTGGCTCCAACAAGCCCCAAATGGCGTCATGCTGCAAAAGACTCGTGGATCTTTCAGTTTCCAGAGGCTCTTTTGACGACGTGAGTGTGATGCTAATTTCATTGGGGCATTTTGTGTAGGGACAGTCTTGCTCTTGACTGTCTTAGAATAAGGAATAACACTTCTGTCATTGCTGACTGACTTTTACAAAGACTTCTTCTGCCCTTTGCTGAAACTTTGAGGACATTTGACATTTCTGTGACTGGAAGTGAGTTGGTCAAGAAGATGAAGAAGAAGAAGACTAGTTTAGGAGATCTAATTATTCGGTACCTGAGTTTTGGGGTGGTTTTGCCATATTCTTTTATACGAGTACTTTGTTTGTAAAAAAAAGAAGTAAATTATTACCATTTTTATTGTCTTAACTTTGAATTTCTCATGGATGATAAGTTTTATACATGTTACTCGGTAGAATATAAATATCTTTCTTAGGGACTGTTTGGTAACTTCAGATTAGATAAGTGCTGAACCAGTAAGAGGTCTGAACCATTAAGTGCTGAATCAGTAAGAGGTCTGAACCATTAAGAGCTAGTATATTGCTTAACTATTCAGAGGTAAATGTCTAATCAATTCAGATAAGAGGTCTTAACCATTCATACTCTGTATAATACTTAACCATTCAGAGGCAAATCTCTTAACCATTCAGACATCTGGACCATTAAGAGTCTGAAACAAACAGTCTGAACCATTAAGTGTTGAACCATTCAGACATCTGAACCATTAAGAGGCTGAAACAAACAGCCCCTTAGACTACAACTATAAGCTTGATCTTTTGATTGAATTAATATTAGATATGACATCACAGTTTTGTTAGCCAACAGGTTAGAGTTTGAAATTTATTGCTACTCATATTTTATTTTTTTTTGAAAAAAATAAGCTTTCGCATGTAATGTTAGGAGCAACCACGCTTGCAATATCTTTTTTGGCCTATAATTATAAGTTTGAGTTTTTGATTGAATTAAGTATTTGATAATGTACTTAGGGGCTGTTTGGCAACTTCTGAATGGGTAAGTGCTGAACCAGTAAGAGGTCTGAACCAGTAAGAGGTCTGAACCATTAAGAGCTAGTATATTGCTTAACTATTTAGAGGCAAATGTCTGATCAATTCAGATAAGAGGTCTTAACCATTCAGACTCTGTATAATACTTAACCATTCAGAGGCAAATCTCTTAACCATTCAGACATCTGAACCATTAAGAGGTTGAAACAAACAGTCTGAACCATTAAGTGTCGAAACATTCAGACATCTAAACCATTAAGAGGCTGAAACAAACAGCCCCTTAGTATTCCATAAATTATAACCTCATAAAATAAAATTTAGTACTGTACGCCTTTTATAGGTCACAAATGAATGAGTTTGAGCCAATTTGAATAATGTTTGTAATTGTTTACCATGATTTGAGAACATTCGTCTAGTCAATTTGAGTAATGTTTGTAATTGTTTGCTATGATTTGAGATCATCCGTCTTGAAAATGAACGAGAGCCAACTTAAAAACTAACATAAAATTTAATAATACTCATCATACAATATAATACTCCATATTTGTAACTACAATTCTTAATTTAAAACCTTAATTTCTCTACTTTTCTACCTTATTCTTGATACATTTCTACCCACTTTATCAATACCTTTTCATTTCTTGTTGGCTGTTGCATATGAAAAGTATTGTGTGATTGTTGTTCTAAATGAAAGTTTACATTTGTAGAAAGGTATAAAACAATTAAAATTAGTATGACCAAATTTAACAAATTATAAAAAGAAATTAAAAAAATTGTAAAAGAATCTTAGAGTAGCACCACAATCATCTACCTACTACAATAAACCATGGAAGATGGTTTAAAACTAAAGTTTTTGAAGAAACAACTACTGTATAATTTTCTTTATTCGCAATCGACAACAAGAACAAACTAAAATGAATATTCTGAAAATCGACTCAGAACCTATCGAACCGGTCAATCTGGAAGACAACAATCCGATCAAATATAATTAAATAATACTACGTAATATTTATATTATATTTTTAGATAATTTTAGTAAAAAAAGAATATGATTTTAATTTATATTTACATATAGTTTTTAGTTTCGTGGTGCATAAACTAGTTTACACTTTTTGTTTTTTATTGTATTATTTTCATTATTATAGGTTAATAGTATATGTCTAACAAATGCTTATTTTAAAAAAAGTAAAGACTACATAATCTGTTCTTATTTACGATTGACATTTTAAAACTTATATTAAGTTGAAAAAAAACTTTAAAAAACATAAAAATGTAGTTTATTAAATTATAATTAATACTTTTAAGATGAAAATAATATTTTAAGTATATGTTATTAATATACTTTTTTTGATAAAAATAAATAATACTAATTATTTATAACTTCGAACTAATTTAAAATTTTATAAAATAATTACAGAGTAAATTGTGATGCATAACGAGTATTCTCTATTTTTAGTAATTGAGTGTTTTTAGGTTGCTCCTTATTATCTAAACAATCTAAAGAAAAAAGAACACACACACACATATATATATATATGGGATTGACTCCAGTGAGATGACACCTTACGGTGCAATGACATGCTTCGGTCAGATGACGCAAAGCTCACCACACTACACTACAAAGCTCACCAATGGACAATGCAAAGCTCACCTGGAAATAAAGCAAAGCTCACCACTTTGAACCCCAAAACTCACCTTTTTTTTAATTTTGAAAATTAAAAAATTAATTAAAAATAAAATAGCAACACTGGTCAACCACCGGTCAACGGCGGCCGCAGGCGGCGGAGCAGCGGCCGGCGACCGGAGTATGGCGGCGGCGGTGACCGGCGGCGGCGACCAGCGGCGGCAGGCGGCGGTCAATGCTGGAGTCAACGGTCAAAGTCTAGTCAGCACCCTTTCCTTTGATTTTATTTTTTCAAAAAAAATTCAAAGTGTTGAAAAAAATATGATGAGCTTTGTCTTACAGTTTGGTGAGTTTTGTAGTTGTGCTTGGTGAACTTTGCAGTGGGCAGTGGTGAGCTTTGGGTCATCTGATTCTTTCTTAATTTTTTTTATTTGTAAAACCCAATCTCCACTCCTGGGATTGGTCATCGCACTATAAGTTGTCATCTCACTGGAGTCAATCCCTATATATATATATATATATATATATATATATATATATATATATATATATATATATATATATATATATATATATATATATATATATATATATATATATATATATATATATAGTAAGTTTAAAATGACACCAGTTCGTTTCGGGTACCTATGGTGTCCCGTTTGTAAAAATAATAGTTTCTACCCCCTAACCCTCTCCCTAAACCCCCCACCCCAAGCCCCACCCTTGCCGGAAACTAGGGTAGTCCCACTTCATTCAGATGCCGTTTGTAAAAATGACGGTTTTCAGTACCCGTATCTTATATTCGCCCCACAGGTTCGACATAAGGTTCCGGTTCCAGTTCAAAATTGGAATTGTCTACAACTAACCATTCTATAGATTATAGATGACACACCAAGACATTTTTTCCTATGTAACACTTGAAGTAGTTTGTGTCATTTTACTTATCCAGTGAGAATGTTAAATCTACAAGTATAGTAGAGAAAATATACCATATTAGCGTTCATTGCAAGTGAAAAGAAATTCAATATACCCCATATACATGATGCAATCCATATAGTGTACATAAGACTTGTTTACGAAATATATTTTCTGTGGTTGTTTATATAATTTTTTAATAATACAGATTAATTTTGAAAACGTTAAACACCATTATCAACTACTCTCTTCGCTCCCAAAATTTCTAGATACCGTTCACATGTCAAAGTAACTATACTTTCTTTATACGGAGTATATTTTTATCGATCATTTGAAAAAAATTAAAAAAATTTATCATCTCTTATTTTGTACTCCCTCCGTCCATATTTAATCTTCCCGCTTTGACCGGGCACGCAGATTTAGGTAAAGTGAAAATGTAGTTGACTTTCCCAAATTACCCCTCCCTCCTCCTTCACTCAACCAGCCTCCCTGCCACCAAACTCCTCTCTCAGCTTATCCAAATCACCGACAATACCAACCCAAATCACCGTTCGTCCCAGCCAAATCCCGACAACACCCAGATTCAAGTCTACCTTCCTAAATTCCCATATGTCCTTCAACTCATCACCGGCAGCACCAGAAATCAATGGTCAGGACCACCACTGGCCGACAACCCTCTATCTCGGTGGACTAAGCCTATACAACTTTCAGATCTGGCGAAAACATGATTTACTCCTTCAGATCTGATGAAGAAGAAGACTTGATGACCAGAAGATTGAATGAAAAAGAATACTCAAATCATCAGATCTATCCATGTTGATATCACCGCAGGGAATAAGAAGAAAAAAAGAAAGGAAAATGGCGAGAGGTTTATAGTGGCTGGACAAAATTGGTATGAGAAGAAAGAAGATGAAGTGGTAGTAGTAGCAAAGAAGATGAAGGGGCGGCTGGCTGGACACAATTGGAGAGGTGAGGAAGAGGAAAAGAAAGAAGAAAAAAAGAGAAGAAAAGAAGAAGAATTGGGGTGGCAGGGGGTACGGGAAAGATAAGGTAGGAAGAAAGAAAAAAATGTATGAGGGTAAATAAGTCTTTTTGATACAAAAAGGTTACCAAATAAGGAAATGAGAAGATAATTTGTGGACGGATGAAAAAGGAAAGTGGAAAGATTATTTATGGACGGAGGGAGTATAATTTTTGACTTAATTTTTAAATTTTATTTTATTTTCTTAACATTATTTCTATTTTTAATTCTCTATCATTTTTACTTATGTCAATTAAAAAACAAAATTAAATCAAATATGGTAAGTTTTATTTTAATTTTTTAAAAAAAAGTTGCAAGGAGGCGCTGCGGAAGTCCACGTACACTTCATAGTAAGAGTGGTTGGGCCCGCAGCCAAGTGCCATGCGGTCCGCTTCCCAGGTTTTGATTGCAATCCAAACCCCCCCGCACCGCAGTGTCTAAAATAGAAAACCCCACACTTTATATTTCATCTTCTCTTGCCCAAAAACAAACCCTAGCTCAACCCCTCCTTCCACCGGCGGTTTTCCAACCACCCTTCCAGTCTCATTTCCAGGTCCTCCTTCGCCGTCGGTTATTCCCCGTATCTTTTTTCCGATCACCGTGCATTGAATCTTCGTATCTCCGTCTCCATACCGCTCTGTGAATTCTGCTCTTTTTTGTTTTTTGGTGATTTCCGTACACTGACTCTCCTTATCTCCGTTTCCCAGCAGCCGCTTGAATTTGTGCAAGGATGTCGGATGACGAGAGAGAGGAGAAGAAGGAGTTGGATCTCACTAGTTCCGAGGTCGTCACCAAGTACAAGAGCGCCGCCGAAATCGTAAACAGTTAGTATATTTTTCTTCCTCCGTCTGCTCGTTCCTTTGTTCTTATTTCTGTGCACTGCATGATGCGTAGATGCTGTTTTTTTAAAAAATGAAATGAGCGCTGAAGTTGGGTTGAAGGATTGATTTGAAATGTTGGATTGTCGCGCCTTAAAATGTGGATTTAAAAGAAATGATTGATGTGTTTTTTGTAGAGGCCTTGCAACTAGTCTTGTTGGATTGCAAGCCGAAAGCCAGGATTGTTGATTTGTGTGAAAAGGGAGATGCCTTCATTAGAGAGTATGTTTTCCACCTGACTTTAATTTTACAAGAATTGGACATGTGTATCTTGTCTTCGATATGTGTATCCAGTATTGAGTAACTGATTATGGTACAGGCAAACTGGAAACATGTATAAGAATGTGAAGAAGAAGATTGAAAGGGGTGTTGCTTTTCCGACGTGCATTTCGGTGAATAATACTGTTTGCCATTACTCTCCTTTGTCCTCTGATGAGAAAGTGTTGGAAGATGGTGATATGTTGAAAATGTAAGTAGCCATTTAAGCCTTTTGTCAATGTTCTCATTTCTCAATTACTCTGAATTTGTGTAAGAATGCCTAAACAATTGTCAGAAGGGTTTACCAGATAAAGCTGGCTATATATGCCCTGTTTATTGCACTCTATGATATGCAGTGTTCATGGTAAGGTGTTCTTGTTGGTTGCAGCGATATGGGGTGTCACATAGATGGTTTTATAGCAGTGCTCGCGCACACACATGTGCTTCAGGAAGGACCAGTTACTGGAAAAGCTGCTGATGTTATTGCTGCAGCAAATACTGCTGCTGAAGTTGCTTTGAGGCTTGTGCGACCTGGAAAGAAGGTAATCCTTGAGACAGTAGATGGACAATGCGTTTGCCTCTATTGCTATCTAGATAATTCATCTGCACACTGCACCGTTGATGGTTGATTTCATGTCCAGTTTTTTAAGTACAAGTATTCTCTATATATATAATATAGACATGCACATTCATGTCAAATATTCTTCTTCTGGTTAAATTTTTTGAATCTTAATTTTTATTATTAATTGTGCTCATCATTAAGTATATTCATACTCTGTATAATTTCATGGTCCATGCAACACATTGTCTTACCAGACGTATGCTGCCATTACTTTGCCCCTAATCTAGTTTTCCTTGGGTATTTTCAGAACTCTGATGTAACAGAAGCCATTCAGAAGGTTGCTGCAGCCTATGATTGCAAGATTGTTGAGGGTGTTTTGAGTCATCAAATGAAACAATTCGTTATTGATGCAAACAAAGTTGTGCTGAGTGTATCCAACCCTGAAACTAGAGTTGATGATGCAGAATTTGAAGAAAATGAGGTTTATTCTATTGATATTGTGACAAGCACGGGTGAAGGAAAGGTTGGCTTGAAGTCTTTTTATATGTTCTTTTTTGTTGATTTTTTTATTTTATTCAACTTAAGTTACATACTCCTTGTCTAAAATAATGTTCCCTATTGGAATTGACATGGAAATTACAAAAGGTGATGTTTTGGAGTTGAAATTTATGCATAGGAGATAGAAATAATTTGAACAACACAATTATTTCCTCAAAGAAAGTGGAACTTTAATTTGAGACCCAAACAAGGGATGTTTAACCTTTTCATGGGACATGGGGAGTATAATGTTTGGGATTTAACACTTGCAGCCAAAGCTGATAGATGAGAAGCAAACAACTATATATAAGAGGGCTGTTGATAAAACCTATAGCTTGAAGATGAAAGCCTCAAGATTCATCTTTAGTGAAATCAATCAGAAGTTCCCAATCATGCCCTTCAATGCCAGGTTTTCCCTTATTTTGAAAAAAAGTTTATTTCATGTGTTTATAATCATCATTGTACTAAACTGCTACTCTGTAATTGATAGGGATTTGGAAGAAAAGAGGGCCCGTTTAGGACTGCTAGAATGTGTTAACCATGATCTTTTACAGCCATATCCTGTTCTACATGAAAAACCTGGTCTGCACTGACATTCCACTGTTATTCCAATTAAGCACACCGTGCACTCCATAAAGCTCCTAAGTTTATTCTAGTTTTGGTATATGAGAATGCATGCTTCAATCGGGTTTGCTTTGGTGCACAGGTGATTTGGTTGCACACATAAAGTTCACGGTTCTGTTAATGCCCAATGGATCTGATAGGATCACGTCACATCCTCTCCAGGAGCTGATCACAACAAAGGAAATTGACAATGAACCTGAGATAAAGGCATGGCTAGCCCTTCCTATTAAGACCAAGAAGAAAGGCGGGGGAAAGAAAAAGAAAGGTACAACTATATTTAAAACCGTTTGGAAAGTAATAGGGTGTCAGTGATATTGCAAAAGCATCTTGATTCAAACAATACATCATATTTGGAAATAGGGGCAGGATTCAATACGTAGTACTTGTATAGCTTGTGCATCTTATCTACTTCAAAGACAAGCCATTAGCAGGGCCAAACACTGCCAAACCCTGCTTTCTCGAAGTGTTTCTTAAGGAATGTATTTTTTCGGTTCTCCAATTGGTTATTGTATGTCAGTCAATTCTAGAAGATGTGTTTCTCTAGTTTTTGAACTGGTTTAAAAATTTGTTCTCATGGATAATTGCTAACTTTGTTCCTGATTTCAAAGTGTTTCATTACTTTGCATGATAGTCGAGGGATAGTTCTATAGTTCTGAGTTCTTTTTAACTGCAACAATTTTTAACCAAACAAGATTCAACCTAACAATTTCCAAGATTTCAGCCTCTCTGATATCTTTCTGTTCCACATGTGCAGGTATGAAAGAAGAAAAGACCGAAGAGCCATCTCAAACCGACCCGATTGAGGAAGATGCAAATTGAGGCTGTTCTTAGTGAAATGTTTCTTCCTATGAGTTAACTTGTTTCGAATTCTCTCCTCCAACGATACACCATGACATGTTGAGCTGATTTGTGCTTCTTTCTTGCCATTGTGCATGTTTTCGTCCAACATTAGTTATAAAAGGCAACGAATGCTTAATCCGCGTGTTTGTTCAATGCAATGTTTTTATCTGCGTGTTTGTTCAATGCAATGTTTTTCAAGTTTTGCAGACATCATTTTGAGCTTAGTACTTTATTTTATGATTCAATGATGGTTCGATCCAAAGTGCATTAAGTTGTTTGGTTCATATATTTGTATTGAAGCTGAACTTAAAAATATATGGTGGAGTTCTAGTGACACCGGAGTACGGTGACACTTTGGTGCCACTGTTATTTTGGGGTACTTCCGGTGTTCCGTTCATAAAATTGACGGTTCCTATCCCCCTAACCCACCCCTAACCCCCCCACCTACCCTCTGGCCTTGCACCCCCATCCCAACCCCGCCGTAAGCCCCCCACAAAATGTGTGGTTATTATGCAACGAATAATAGCCACATATTTTGTGGGGGCTTACTTCGGGGTTGGGGTGGGGTGCATGGGTGGGGTAGGGTGGGGGTTTAGGGGGTGAGTTAGAAGGGGTAGGAACCGTTAATTTTACGAACAGAGCATCGGAAGTGCTTCAAAATGACAGTGACACTGCTAGTGTCACCAAAAGCCGGTGTCACTAGAACCCCACCAAAAAATGTATGCATCAGGAAGTGTTGTGCTATGTTGCCATCCTCAAGCTTTCTTCTAAAACTGTGTTTGGTTCATGAAATTTGAAAGGAAAAAAGACAATCTTTGGTTCATGGAATTTGGAAGAAAAATAAATAATTTTTTTCCTATTTTCTTATCAAAATAGAAAGAAAGTTATTCTCTTTAGTGCATTTTCTTTTCCTCTTATTTTCCTCAATAACCATTAAGGAAAAATATTTTCTCTCAATTCCTTTTTGATTTCCTCTTCAAAATTGTTTTGAATCAAACATAGTGTAAGTTTTGTTAACAGTGAGAAATCTTTTTTTTGTTGTTTATCTTTAGGCATTGTGACTGTTTAATAAAAGGGTCATGCTACACTTACACCACAAATTGTACACCATTTGTACACCATAGGTATACATAAACATTTTGATGGTTTAAACCGACACAAGTGTTGGTGCATTAATAAAAATTTACACAGACACAAAGTGTTTGTGCATTAACAAAAATTAGTTTTACACCAACACAAAGTGTTGGTGCAAACTTGCGGGGTACAAAATGGGGTACAAAATATGGGGTACAAGTAGCTTTATCCTTAATAAAATTCATCAAGAGTTTTACAAGTGCTACTAACAAAAGCCAAATAATAACAGATGTCACCATTTCTTTGCAAGGGTCGTACTTAACATAGAGATTATAAATGTCACATTCTTACAATATACTCTTGTCTCATACTTGACACACACTTATTTAGAAAGTAAAATTGTATTCTTGATGTTTATTCAAAAAGGAAATATAATATCAAAACACAATTCCTTCCTTCAACATGAACATGAAGAAATTTTGGGAGAATTCAAAAGGACAACCACTTCTTTTGAAAGTAATTGTGTTTTTTTTGTTTAGAAAGCAAATAAACAATATCAACCTCATAACTCTTTCCTTAAAAAGAAAAAATGAGAAGAAAATTATGGGACATAGAGAGTACTTTTTACAATGTGGACTGACACAAGTATCTGCAAGAGCGTAATGTTATACTCCCTCCGTCCAAAAAAGAACTTCCCGGTTTGACCGGCACGCATATTAATGTGTGATAAAATTTGCTTTGACTTTCCTATTTTACCCCTGCAACCTTCCATCTTTCAATCTACTGGTACCGAATCTCTGATTGCCAACACCCCCGCCGGCGATTCTCTACCACCGCCAGCGATTCTCTACCACCGCCGGCGATTCTTTACAGCCGCTGCCGCCGACTCTCTGGAACCATCGGATGACTTCGGTGGTTCTTCTTGCCGCCATCCCTTCCGTAACCCCCTCCCTCGTAGATCTAATCTCTTCCATCCGAGGTTTTGACGGCTTGGGGCAAGGCTAGGAGTAACAAAAGCTTTATAGATCTATGAAATTGATGGAGATTACGTCGAAAAAGGAACAGATCTGACCATGGTTCATCTTGCCCGCCTCTCTCTGGTTCACGTATGTACCATGGGATTTCATAGATCTGCTCTTTGATCTCTGGTTCTTCTTGCCCGCCTCTCTCTGCTCGCTGCTCCCAATTATTGGGTGACGGAACAAAGATCAAAACATGGAGGAAAAGGAATTAAAGAAGAAGAGAGAAGAAGAAGAAGAAAGGAAAAGAATGAAAAAGAGAAGAAAAGAAAGAAAGAAGAACAGAGAAAAAATCGGCAGTGGCATGTGGGTGATTTCAGAAGGGAGACTGGGAGAGGAAAAAAGAAAAAAAAAGAGAAGAAGGGAATGGGTGAGAAGCGGCGAAGAAGAAAGAAAAAGAAAAGAAAGAGAGTGGAGGTGGGGGCAATTAAGTCTTTTCGCATGAAAAAAGTTTCCAAAAAAGGAAATGGAAAGTTTATTTGTGGACGGACGAAAAAGGAAAGTGAGAAGTTTATTTATGGACGGAGGGAGTATTTTTAATTACATAATTTTAAGTTTTAAAAAATTTAAAAATAATAATAAAAAGGAGAATTTACCTCAAAATTTTAAAATCTTTAAGTTACCGTTACATCCCTAACGACGACCCAAACTTTACACACACGCAAAAAGGTGAGGTATTACTTGTAAGAGTGAAAAATAAAATTATTTTTAAAAGTCTGTGTGAATGCACTCATCTATGTTGGAAATCACACTTGAGTGAGCTTTCTCATGTTACATTATAATAGTAATGTAATACTCCCTTCGTCCAAAATGACATTCCTATTCTATTTTTTTCGTCTTAAAATAATATTCCCATTCTACTTTTAAAGTACAAATCTCCTTAAAATACCCATCTCATTTAATATCCTCACATTAACCCTTCCTATCTACCCAACCCCCAAGCTCTCGCGTTCACTCTCGCATCTACTTCGAATATGTCGCCCTCTCTTCTATTTTCCCAACCCCTAGATTACTATCCCCTTCCTCTCCAAGATCTGTAGATCTCCGCCCCATTTCATGGAATCGCATGACTTTCTTTACGATTCATATATTCTGGAGATGGGGTTTTAAGACGGTGGAGGTGACTGTTGCAAGGTGATTGGCGAAACATTCATCTCTAACGCCAAGGTGGAGGACGAGGTCATCGTCATCCACAGCGAAGACGATGCCGATATTGCCCCAGTCAAAGAGAAAAAAGTGGTTATCGCCCTTGAGGCTGAGGAAGAATGTGTTATTCTTATTGTGAGCGATGAAGATGGCAATAATGATGCAGAATCTGACAGTGATGATATGGAGGGGTATGAAATTATTGAGAATCGGACTTCTCCATGGATGAACTCAAACATGCACTTCCACATTGATATGCTAAACATTGTTAGGTCCTTAATATTTAGCATATGAGTTGGCGTTATTTTTGACAACACACAATCACTAATTTAGTATAGGTGTAGTGTCCTTATGTTAGTAGAATTTTGTTGGTAGAATTATTGGTCATCCTGCATGTCAACCTGGACTTGGACACTGCGCTGGAAGTGTATAGCGTGAAGAAGGTTTCTGTTCTGTCAAGCAGTTGGCCAAACCGATGACTCCTTCCTGGACTCAACGTAGTAATATGCGTAGGAGTTCTATAGACTCAAGGTTAGGGTTTCATCCCATGCCAACCCAGAGATATAAATAGGAGATTGCAGCTTGGCAGAAGGTGCGCGAGAATAAACACATTCGGCTAAACAAGAGTACTTACAGATTGTTGATCTATCAAAGAGAAGAGCGTATCATATATATTCACGTGAGGTTACAGTAAGAAGATCAGCCATGGATCTTCTCTGAAGGTTTGTTCAGCTTGTGCATCGTGTGAGGCTGAGCAAAGGTCAAGAACACATCCTTATTGCAGAGCAACGAGGAGGTGTAATAGGCCGAGTTTGACACAAACAGAGTTTAGTGTCTGATCACGTAAGTAGACAAATATGTTCAATAGAAGGGTCTGTTGAGTTTGATTGTGTAATTCTTATGATGATCTAGTGAAAAGGCTATTACACGGATGTGGGCCTCGCAGACGTAGGAGAGTTGGCTCCGAACTGCGTAAACAAATTTTTGTGTCTTTGCTTGCTTTCGTTTTGTTTGGTTTGGTGTTAAAAAAGGTGTTGTAGCATTCTGTGAAACTTAGTTGTTGCGCTACAGCACAGTTTCTAACCACTTTCTGCTGTGTTGATTGTGTGTGTCTTTGGTTTATATATTGTGCTGTGGGTGTGGAAATTTAATTTGGTATCAGAGCCTACATAGCTTAATTTACTAGCTATCGATCACATCATGGGAGACATGGAAGAAGGAGCAAATTTTCAGAGACCACCTTTATTGCGTGGACACAACTACAATTTTTGGAAGGGCAGGATGAGGGCCTTTCTCAAATCCCTTGGAGGTGGAGTCTGGAGAAGCGTGGAAACTGGATGGACTGAACCACGTAAATATTCTGATGATCTGACAACATCAAGAATCAAGCCATTCGAAGAATATAGCAGGACAGAAGTAACAGCCGCTGAGTTTAACGATAAAGCCCTAAATGCAATCTTTGGGGCAGTGGATTCTACCCAGTACAAGCTCATATCAAACTGTGACAATGCCAAGGAAGCTTGGGATATTCTTGAAGTTACACATGAGGGAGATGAGGAAGTGAAGACTGCGAAATATCAGATCTTGATGACCCAATATGAAAATCTGCGCATGGACGAGAAGGAAAAGATCACTGAATTTCATGGAAGAGTTAGAGATATTGCAAACCAGGCTGCACGACTGAATGAACCTATTCCAGAAAACAAGCTGGTCCTCAAGGTGCTGAGATCACTTCCAAAAGAATATGAGATGGATGTCAAGGCCATTCGACGTTCCCACAACATCAAAAACATGACTCTTGATGCACTTATGGGAATACTGGAATCAATTGAACTGGACATGGCAGAAGATAGTAAACGAAGGAAACCTGATAAGCAGATAGCATTTCCCAGCACTAAGGTGGAAGATGACGGAGAACTTGATTGGTCACTTGATGAAGATTTCCAAGAGCAACTATCACTGTTCACCCGGCAATTCAAGAAACAATGGATTCAGAAGAGATCAAATCAAAAACTTGAAGGTACATCTAAGGGACCTCCATCAAAAGATGCGAAGTACAGAGAAGCCAAAAACACAGAAAATCCTAACTATACAAAGAAGAAGGGGCCACAGTGTTTTGAGTGTGGCGGATATGGTCATATCCAGTCTGAGTGTGCAAACAATCTAAAAAAGAAGAGACAAGCTTTCAAGGCAACGTGGAGTGATGATGAAACTGAAGATCAGAGTGATTATGAAGAATCTAATTGTGCATTCATTGCGAGTATTGATCCAGATGAGGAGGAGAGTCTTGAAGAACAACTCGAGGATCTGCGAGAAAAATGGTCAGAACTCCTGATGGTGAACAAAAGAAATGTCGCAGACAAAAACAGACTGATTTCAGAAGTTAATGCATTAAAGGAGGAAATTGAAGGACTCACCAGGAAGAATGAGAAACTTAAAGGAGAAAAATCTGATCTGTTATTCAAAATAAACCAACTGAAGTCCTATCAAAAATGGATCAAGGTTGCTGGAGCAGAGGTGCTGGATCATCACTCGATCATGGCTAAACCTCCAGGAGACATGACATGTATCGGATACACAGATAAAGGGAAGATGCCACAATCACTTGAAGTCAAGTTTGTTAAAGCCTCCGAAGTAACTGCATCTACCAGCACACATCATTCCAAAAGGGAACATCAAACGCCCTTATACAGGAATCCCTACCACCATTACAGATGCTTTAACTGCAATAAGTGGGGACACATACAACGTCAGTGTGTCATAAGATGGAGCAAGCCGTGGACATCTAAACATTACAAACAAATCTGGATACCAAAACAGTATGCTTCTGTGGCCAACACTTGCTACAGGGTCACCCCAGATCAATGGCTTCTTGACAATGGATGTTCGCATCATATGACTGGTGACAGAGAAAATCTCATAAACGTCAAGACACTTGAACAAGGAAGTGTTCGCTTCGGTGGTGGAGCACAGGGAAAAATAGTTGGTAGTGGCACGCTCAACGTATCCGGACTACCACCTATCAAAAACGTATGGTTAGTCCAAGGCTTACAGGTGAACCTGCTCAGCATAAGCCAAATATGTGACCAAGGGCTTGAAGTATTCTTTACACAGCAAAAATGCAGAGTGAGAGATCGAAGTAAACAAGTGGTGCTTGAAGGTGATAGAACAACTGACAACTGCTATAAAGTAACCCCAAATATTCTTTGTTTCTCAGCAAGTGGAAAAGATGCAAGGTTATGGCACTATCGCCTGGGGCATCTGAACTACAAAGATCTTGTAACTCTGTCTAATTCAGGAGCTGTGAGGGGATTACCAAAAATCATCAATAAAGAGGCAGAGATATGTGGTCCTTGTCAAAAGGGAAAACAGATACGCAAGACTCATCCAGTCAAGGTGTTTCAATCCACAAAATGTCCCTTGGAGCTGCTGCATATAGATCTGTTTGGACCTATGAAGACTGAGAGTATTGGAGGCAAGAGATTTGTACTCATGGTGGTTGATGATTTTACGAGATATACATGGGTATGTTTTTTAAGGCATAAGGATGACGCACTATATGCCTTTGCTACACTCTGCAACAAAGTCCAAAACGAGAAACAGTCAAAGATACAAAAGGTTATACGAGTGAGAAGTGATCATGGTGGGGAGTTCGACAGCCAACCTTTCAGCAACTACTGTGATGAACAAGGAATAGCACATGAGTTCTCAGCACCAAAAACCCCACAACAAAATGGGGTAGCCGAGAGAAAGAACAGGCATGTGCAGGAAATGGCAAGAACAATGCTTCACATACAACAATTACCAGAGAATCTTTGGGCCGAAGCCGTACACACAGCCTGCTACACAATAAACCGTGTGTATATAAGAAGTGGGACTCAAGCTACTCCATATGAACTGTGGAAAGGGCGAACTCCAAACGTGGGACACTTTCACATTTTTGGAGCAAAATGCTTTGTTCTTCGAGATCGAGAGCATAGAAGCAAGTTTGATGCAAAGAGTGATGAAGCTATATTCTTAGGATACTCACCAAACAGCAAAGCCTTCAGAGTATTCAACAAACGCACCAGAACAATCATGGAGTCCATTAATGTCATAGTAGATGACAAAGCACTATGGAAGGATGACAGTGACACAAGAGATGATGAACCATCTGCTGAACAGCAAACTGAAGAAGTTTCACCAACATCAGATACATAAGGTCAATTAGATGCAGAACCACAGGCAAGTCAACCAGAAGAAGTCAGAGTGCCCACACACATTCAAAAGAATCATCCACTAGAAAATGTGATCGGAGATCCACAAGAAGGTATGCGCACTCGAAAAAAAAAGATTGACTATGTTGAGATGATCAATGCCTTCTATACTTCATCAGTTGAACCAAGAAATGTCAAAGAAGCCCTGACAGATTAAGCATGGATAAACGCGATGCAGGAAGAGCTGGCACAGTTTGAGCGAAATCAGGTATGGGAACTGGTGCCAAAACCTGAGGATGTGAACATCATTGGCACGAAGTGGATTTTTCGTAACAAAACTGATGAAGACGGCAACGTGATAAGAAACAAAGCAAGGCTGGTGGCTCAGGGATACACACAGGTTGAAGGAGTGGATTTTGAAGAAACCTTTGCACCTGTGGCAAGACTTGAATCAATCCGAATACTCATCAGTATGGCATGTGTCTGGAATATGAAATTGTATCAAATGGATGTTAAAACAGCCTTTCTGAATGGATATCTTAAAGAAGAGGTTTATGTATCTCAACCCAAAGGATTTGAAGATACAGCACATCCAACGCATGTATTCAAACTACGCAAGGCACTCTATGGCCTGAAGCAGGCTCCGCGAGCATGGTATGATAGACTAACAGCATATTTGTGCAAACAAGGATACACCAGGGGAGGGTAGACAACACCATGTTCTATATCAGGTACGGTAAAGACATACTGGTAGCCCAGATCTATGTTGATGACATACTGTTTGGTTCAACCTCAGAAGTCTATGTTGGGAAATTCGTTGAAGTCATGGAGAAAGAGTTTGAAATGAGCATGATTGGAGAATTGACTTACTTCCTGGGGCTACAAATCAAACTCAAGATGGAATTTTTATTTCTCAAAATAAATATGCTCTGAATATGCTGAAGAAGTTTGATATGAGTGACTGCAAAAGTGCTAGAACACCTTGTCCAACACATGAGAAAATAAGCAGGGATGATAATGGAAAGGACGTCGATGCTACTGACTACAGAGGGATTATTGGAAGTTTGTTGTATCTTACTGCAAGCAGACCTGATATATGCTACAGTGTGGGAGTATGTGCAAGATATCAAGCTAAGCCTAAAGAATCACACATGAAGGCAGTAAAAAGAATACTGAAATATGTTAAGGGCACACATAACATGGGTCTCTGGTATTCTAAAGGTGCTCCAGCACAACTCATGGCATATAGTGATGCAGATTGGGCAGGAAATATTGATGATCGTAAAAGCACTTCAGGAGGGTGTTTTTATCTAGCAGGCAATCTAGTAGCATCGCTTAGTAAAAAGCAGAATTCAGTCTCACTATCTACTGCAGAAGCAGAATACATTGTTGCCGGGAGTTGTTGTGCACAACTTTTGTGGATGAAGTCAATGCTAACTGATTATGGAATTCAGCATGATACTATTCCCATTTATTGCGACAACACAAGTGCCATAAATATATCCAAAAATCCAGTACTGCACTCACGTACTAAACACATTGACATCAAACATCATTTTATACGTGAGCTAGTAGAAGAAAAAATTGTCACTCTTGAATATGTTCCTACTGAACATCAGTTAGCTGATATATTTACAAAGGCACTTGATGGAGAAAGATTTGAGACACTTAGATCCAATTTGGGTCTGTGCGCACCATTTCAATAAATCATGAAGAGTGAAATGAGCACAAATTGTCAGCTAATGTGCCCAATTTTCAAGAAATTCTGCTGAGTTTTTTTAGCATGCGCCGTTGCATAATGATGAGGCATACGAAGAGACGCCTACTTTATCTCACAAATTGAAGAGGCGTGGTGTGAACCTCGGTATCATCATACGCAAAGGGTCTCTCAAGAACCCTAACCGGCAAAAACACAGACTTGAGCTAAATCAGAGAAAGACGAAGATGGTCAGAATCAAGCATGTTCTTCCGAAACGCTGTAAGGGAAAACCCTCACTCAAAAGGAAACTCTGGGCAAAACATCGCTGGACGCGTCTACTGGCTGCAGAGGAATCACAACGAACCAATGCTCATCTTGAACCAAAGGCGGCAGAAGAAGACGAAGAGAATCTCCCACAACCTACTCTGGGAGAATCAAACATGGAGCAACCAGATTCAAGATCAGTAGACAACGAAGTCAGAAATGTCACAGAAGGTGATGTGATTCTAAACCCTATTGCCACAATCCCAGAAACGCTCTACCTAGAATACACAGTTACTCCACAGAAAAAGAACATGCAAAGCAAGAAGAAGGAAGATCCGCTGCCAGAAAAGGAAATACCAGACATTGTGAACGAAGAACCTTTAATAGCATGTTCAGATGTGCCATTTGAAGGTGTAAAATTCACAACCCCTGCATCCAAGAAACAAATGGAAAAACGTACTAGATCCAGATGGTCGTTGCGTCAAAAGGCGAAGGAGAATCAAGAATCAGAAGGGATTGAAGAAATTCAGACACAAGAAGTGAAAAAGAAGGAGCTAAAGCGAAAGGAGAAAGCAACGGATGACCAGGAGGAGAGCGCAAAGAAGCAAAAAACATCATCTCCCTCAGCAAAACTCACAACCAGAAGTCAGATCAACCAAAGGAAAGATGCAAAAGCAGAAAAGTCACCCAAACCAGGGAAGTTTTCTAAACATCTATTTGTTTCATCAATTGCTAGCTCATACATGCCTGAAATTGCCAAGAAAACCATTCTGCCACAAAGAAGTATTGATGTTGAGGATTTTGAAGCAAAAACAAACTTAATCCCTGTGTTGAAAAAGTGCAATTTGCTTAAATCAATCACTCTGCCTGGTTCTTATGTGAGAAAAGTCGTTCAAGAGTTTTACTGCAATTTGTCTGAGGGTTGCAACATTCACACTGACCCTTCATACCACAAAGTGTTTATGAGAGGGAAAACTTTTGATCTGTCACCTACAAAAATCAATCAGTTTCTAAACATAAAACCCCCCTCCTCTGAAACCAATGTGAATGAAAGACAAGTCTGGACTGACCTTACTAATGGTGAGCGCATCTCTCAATCCACCAAGTCAAAAGTGCCCTCTTCCATTCACAAAAGTTCCTATGCCATACTGTTCAGGGTTGCTGCATATCACTGGCTCCCAACCACTCATATGAACACAGTCCCACTCTGCATAGCCACACTGATCTACAAAATCAAGCATGAGATACCTGTCAATCTTGGGAAAATCATCTTTGACCAGATCATGAGCTTTGCACCTGAAAGGGCCAAACAGAATTCTAATGGGCTACCTTATCCTCTCCTTATTTTTCAAATGCTTAAATCTCAAAAACTTGTAGTTGCAGATGAAGAAGAACCTGCTCCTCCTCTTCTCCAGGTTGATTTGAGGCACTTTGAAGGGAGACACTACAATGACATGGCAACAAGGGAGGAACTGAAGACAGCTCCAGCAGTTCTTCAGTCAGACTTTTCAAAAACAGCTTTCATCAAAGGAGAAATTCAGCTGCTGCAAGAGAAGATTGAGGAATACAAGAAGCTGATCAAAGAAGCTGAAATCAAAAAGAAAAAATGGGCCATTATCCTGTCATCTCTGGACACCACTTCAGATGAAGTTGCTAAATCTCAGGGGGAGAAGTCCAAGATGGGACAGATGATGCTGCAACACAGGGGGAGCAGAGTGAAGATGATAAAGCCACTGTGGAAGAAGGGGAAAGCTCAGATGCAGAGGATGATAACCACGCAAATGAGGAGTCAGATTTTGAGGCTGAACTCCACAAGTTTGATGATTAAACTCTTCATTTTTTTTGGGAAACCTCTACTGTTTTTTGGTTACTCAATATTTTGATGGGATTGTTCTGTCCCAAAATGGCTTCACTTGGGTTCTGGATTTATCTACTCATATTTTGCTGCTACTATATGGTGTTTTTTGACTTGGGTCTGTTATGCTAAAAACTGCATGTTATAAATCCTGGTTCTGATTGTCTACTATGCATACGGTCACCCGGTCTTTCTCAGGTTTTGCACAGGTGGGATGACCATTTTATGTCCAAGTTGGTTTAACGTTTTAATGTACACACTCTTGCATCCGGTTGTCTAAATATTACTCTTCTCCACTTTCTTGAATAAAACATTTGCTTTGCCTTTGGCATATTTTTTCCAAAAGGGGGAGAAGAGGTTTAGAACCGGCTGGGTGTCAAGTGATTATGTTTGTCAAAAATAGCCAAAGGGGGAGATTGTTAGGTCCTTAATATTTAGCATATGAGTTGGCGTTATTTTTGACAACACACAATCACTAATTTAGTATAGGTGTAGTGTCCTTATGTTAGTAGAATTTTGTTGGTAGAATTATTGGTCATCCTGCATGTCAACCTGGACTTGGACACTGCGCTGGAAGTGTATAGCGTGAAGAAGGTTTCTGTTCTGTCAAGCAGTTGGCCAAACCGATGACTCCTTCCTGGACTCAACGTAGTAATATGTGTAGGAGTTCTATAGACTCAAGGTTAGGGTTTCATCCCATGCCAACCCAGAGATATAAATAGGAGATTGCAGCTTGGCAGAAGGTGCGCGAGAATAAACACATTTGGCTAAACAAGAGTACTTACAGATTGTTGATCTATCAAAGAGAAGAGCGTATCATATATATTCACGTGAGGTTACAGTAAGAAGATCAGCCATGGATCTTCTCTGAAGGTTTGTTCAGCTTGTGCATCGTGTGAGGCTGAGCAAAGGTCAAGAACACATCCTTATTGCAGAGCAACGAGGAGGTGTAATAGGCCGAGTTTGACACAAACAGAGTTTAGTGTCTGATCACGTAAGTAGACAAATCTGTTCAATAGAAGGGTCTGTTGAGTTTGATTGTGTAATTCTTATGATGATCTAGTGGAAAGGCTATTACACGGATGTGGGCCTCGCAGACGTAGGAGAGTTGGCTCCAAACTGCGTAAACAAATTTCTGTGTCTTTGCTTGCTTTCGTTTTGTTTGGTTTGGTGTTAGAAAAGGTGTTGTAGCATTCTGTGAAACTTAGTTGTTGCGCTACAGCACAGTTTCTAACCACTTTCTGCTGTGTTGATTGTGTGTGTCTTTGGTTTATATATTGTGCTGTGGGTGTGGAAATTTCAAACATATTGATGCTCACCCCAAATCCAAACTTTGGGCTTCAAAGTACAAGTAGGGAAGTTACTTTCCTTTCACTATAAATCTGTCTGGTTTTATTATGCAATGAAATGTAAACCTTTGATTATGTTAACCAGAGTATGTGTGTATGTGCATGTTATAAATTGATGCATCTATGATCTTAATTGCCTAGATTTAATGATGATTATGTTAAGTGTGTACTGTGATGAGCATTTTGCCTAGATCTTAATTGTTATGAATATTTTAATTAAGTGTGTACTCGGATTAGCATTTTGCAATTATGAAATGCCTCTAAGTACCAAACCATACACACCTCTATGGTCTTTCTGAAGCTTTGATTGTTTAATGTGTGTATGTGCATGTTTCCTGCCTCTGCCTCTAAGATAGTTCTTGGCAAACTTCTATGATGACTGTTAATTGCAATGTCTGAGAAGAAGAAAGTATTGTGATGAGCTTTTTGAATTCTTGAAATGGCTCTAAGTAACAAAGCATCTTAATGGTTTCACTGTATCATTCATTGTCAATGTGTGTGTGTGTGCATGTATTCCATCTTTGGCCGCTTTCTGTGAGGACTGCAAGTTGCATTGTCTGAGAAAAATGTATATTGTGATGAGAATTTTGTAATAATGGAATGACTCTGAGTACCAAATGTCTCAAAACCAGTAATGATGAAGTGGGAAAGGGCTTATGAAAATCATATGTTGCTTGCTATTTTTGTATAAACAAAGTTACATAAAGAGGAGATAGTGTGTAGTTACTTTGATGCGAGTATATATATGGCAGTGTATTACCAAGTGCAAAAACCAAAAACCAATATACCAATGTAGCTACCACTTACAAAAAGGAACACCTAAAAACTAAATGTGGTAGCCACTTACAAAAAACAAAATCCAAAAAACAAACATGCTTACAACATTGGACTCTGTTCAGCTCTGAAGATAGGTACTCCTCTCCCTCTTGAGTGTTGAACTCAACCATGTCTGCATTGGTAGTCTTATTTTGTTCTCCTAGTAGTGTAGTTATCTTCTGAATTAAGTCTAGGTCTATGCTCAAGCAGTTAGGAAGGTTCCCTATCTTGGCCAGTCTGTCTTTTCCAATATGTGGCAGTTTGTAGTTGTTGCCTCCTTGAAGTTCCATGGCTTTAGTTAATACCAGCTAGTAAGTCAACCACACCTTGTTCAGGGTTTTTGGAGTTAGATCATTATATGCTCCTTTCACTGCCTCTAATAATTCACTCACTGTGGTTGGCGCACATAGCTCTTTTAAAGGCTGAATTGCTCTGAAAAATCCAAGGTCCAACACATTTTAAGTCTGGGGAGTTGGGGGGTTGGTTACCTAGAGCGATGTGAAATCTGTTGGTGTTACCTGCTGGCACAAAGTCTGAGTCTATTCCTTAAATATGTGGCCTTGCATTATCTTGCTAAATGTGGATTTCTTTATATAACTGTGATGGCCAATTCTTTTGGATAGATCGAATAACTTTATCGATTAGCATGTGTTTTGTGATTTGTTTGGTAACACTTGTGATTGGTTTCTCCTTCACCACCCCTTGCTTTTCCTTTTGGCTTTCAGTCTTTCTGCGAAATGAAATATCCCTACTTTCCCATCCCACAACATTTCTCCATTCACCCCAAAAAGTGGTCTCATAACCATACATAAGAAGATGACTTTAGCTATGGATCTTTTTGATTTACCTGCTCCCAACCATACATAAGAATATGACTTTAGCATGGAATGAGGTAAAATATTTGGAAAGTTTTATACATAAAGAGCCATTTCTCATCAATGTGTAAAACATTGTTAAAAGTCTTAAACTTAGAGATGTTGGGCATGCTGTAAGGATCTACCCGAACTAAACAGAACCTCAACCTTGTAATCTTATTACCATCTTTTAATTATGGTTTGATGGAATTAGAATGGCTCTTAAGCAAGCATATCTCTTTTTACCCACTCATGCACGGTTGACTTAGGCTTCCCAATGGCTGCTGCTAATGCTCTCTGATTAGTCTTCTTCCTCAGGGAGTGTCTGCAACTGCTTTTAAATCCATGACAGCCCTCTTCCTTTGACTATTTCCTGTAATCATGCTCCTCACATCAATGGCAACCCCATGCTCTAATTGCTTCTTTGCAATGGCCCATATGTTGCTGACTGTTTTTCTACAAACTTTAAACTGTGAAGCAAGTTTGTTGACCTGCCCATACTGAGCTGAGAATGAACCATCTGGATTTTGTTTTGAATGTGTTAGTAGTGCATCACTAATCAATTTCCTTATTGTGTTGTCCAAGTTCTTCGTGTTAATTTCACAGTTCATTAAGGTTTATATATGCAAGGCACTAGAATTTAGAGTGGAAAAAAGAAAAATGAAGAAGAAAATGAAGAAGGGAATGAAGAAGAAGAGAATGAAGAAAGGTGCTGCTGAAAAAGGAAAGGGTTGGGGCTTTTTAAATTGTTGTAATAACCCTTTTGAATGGTTTTTAAATCTTGTTTTGGGCGGGTGATTGAAAGATTAGGAGGGAATATGATTTTTTTTGGATTTTTGGTGATGTTAAGTGTAATTGATGTAACAAACTCATACCTCTCTTATGATTATAAACAATTCTTTCCCCTTTATTATTTTGGCCAGCTTCTGACCCAATTCCCAAATTATTTAAACAAGACTATTTTGGTCAATCTATAGCCTTAGTCAAGCCCTCTTAAAAATGAGAAAAAGTCAAACCGAGAATATCATTTCTGGGTCGGAAGAAGTATTAAATGATGTAGTGCTCCATATGATTCAATCGTATAGTAACTATTATGGAGTACTTCGCATTTGATTTTAGACAATATATTGACATTATATTTAATAGGTCTTATTTTTAATAAAACTAATTTGATCTAAATAAATTGAATATCATCTGATTCAAACGGGGTGTATTCAATTGAGACTGTATTAAATTTTTTTAGACTATAAAAAGTTAATAAAATTAGAAAATTCATAGACTCTATGTAGAGTTTGTCCAACTTTTCTATTGATTTACATGGATTTCATAGACTCCATGGAATTCTAATTGAGCAATCCAAAGATAGCGGCACTCCATCAGCCCTCTCTCGAGCGGCACTCCAGGGACAATTTTAAAAGAAGAGACAATTTTTCTTAAAAGTTCACAATCCTCCTCCAATGCCACAAGCAAAAGAAGAGACTCCATGGATTTCTATTGAGCCATCCAAAGGATTTCTCCACCCCGGCAACATCGTCACCATCCAAAGATAACGACACTCGAGTAGCCCTCCTCTAGCGGTAACGAAGGCAGACACACAGCGGATGCCTGGTCCGTCACGGTCAACCGGCGGAAACAGCCTCTCCCTCCGCAAACCAGATCTACGTCGTCTACACAATTGCTTAGTTCAAAAGTCCATAGAAATCTGATGTTCTGAGAAGAGATTTGAGATAAGCATTATTCTGGGAGAGAATCCAACAAAATCTATGGAGTATAAAAATTCATTTACTATTGAATACCTAAAGATTTTTTAAGACTTTTTAAAATCTTTATTGATTAACTCAGGATTTTTAAAGATTTTTGGAAATACTAACATTTTAAATATTATTGAATATTCCCAATTGTATACACCCTCAAGTCTTGTTTGAAAACAATGGTTTTTTGTTAATGCTAACATTTTAAATAAAATTTTAGTGACTAAGTTATTTTTTCAAAACTAAAAGCAAAAGCAACCAAACACGATTAAAATATGGGTCATGCTACACTTACACCACAAATTGAATCTCATTTGTACACTGCAGTTATACACAAACATTTTGATAGTTTACACCGACACAAGTGTTGGTGCGTTAACAAAAATTTACACGGACACAAAGTGTTGGTGCATTAACAAAAATTAGTTTTGCACCAACACAAAATGTTGGTGCAAACTTGCCGGATACAAAATGTTGGTGCAAACCTATCTGTATCATGCTCTTAAAACATGGGTACCTTTATCCTTAAAATATCTCTAGTCGACGCTCAGTAAATATCAGAACCGCCCGCTCACCAGCAGCAGCCCCCTTTAACCAATCCCTGTTTTCATCACTTGCTCTGTAAATCTGAGTCGGAATCGCCGTATATAGGGGATATAGCACTATATTCCATCCATGGCCAGCACGGAGCCTGAGCACGAGCGCAGGGAGGAGGAGGAGGAAGCTGCAGCAGCGGATGATGAGGACACTGGAGCACAGATTGCTCCCATCGTTAAGCTTGAAGAGGTGGCGGTCACCACCGGGGAGGAAGACGAAGACGCCATCATCGACTTGTACTAATCGATCTGATCTCTATCAGTTCCGTTTAGATCTGCTCTATTCCTGCCGTTCGAAGCTGATCCGATCCTTGATTTTTGAATACTTTGCAGGAAGTCGAAGCTTTATCGTTTTGATAAGGCAGGAAATCAGTGGAAAGAGAGAGGCGCCGGAACAGTCAAGCTCTTGAAGCATAAGGAAACGGGAAAAGTCCGTCTTGTTATGCGCCAGGCCAAGACGCTTAAGATTTGCGCTAATCATCTCAGTAAGTTCTAGTATTTCTTCTTGTTTATTTTCAGTGGACTTATTAGGTTAAGATTCTTGAGTTTTTTTATTTTGATCGTAATCTTAAAGAAGTCTTTTTGTTTGTGATTTGCAGTCATTCCATCAATGACAATTCAGGAACATGCTGGAAATGACAAGACTTGTGTGTGGCATGCCACAGATTTTGCAGATGGTGAACTGAAAGATGAGCTCTTCTGTATTAGATTTGCATCCTTGGAGAGTAAGTGCTTTTCAATTTTGGACTAGTGATACTTTATCTGACTTTTTAAATATAA